TGTGAACAATCTCAATCTCTTCACCATCCATCCTGATGCTGCCAATTGGCCCAGTGGTGAGAATCTTTGTCTTCTTGATATTAAACCTTAATCCATATTGAAGGCTGCAGTCCTTGACACTCTGCAGTAAGTGCATGAGGTCCTCCTCAGTTTCAGCAAGCAGGATTGTGTCATCTGCACAATGCAGATTGTTGATAGATCTTTCACCAATCCTGACGCCACACTTCTCATAGAGCCCAGCCTCCCAGGTAATCTGTTCTGCATACAGGTTGAAAAGGTATCGAGACAGGATACAGCCCTGGCGTACACCCTTCCCAATTTTGAACCATGCAGTGTTTCCTTGCTCTGTTCTGACTACTGCCTCTTGTTCTAAGTATAGGTTTCACGTTAGTACAGTCAAGTGTTTTGGAATTCCCATCCACACAAATGCCTTTGCATAATCAATGAAACATAGAGCTCACTTTATTTCTTAAAAAGTTATGTTTTACTACTGGTAACATGCACAACCATACAAACACACATTCACAATTTCTACACCAACATGTTAAGGACTCTGGTCACCTATTTCACATTGTTTATGGTCTCACTCTCTCTCTCTACCTGTATGGTTTTACTGTTCATTTTACCTGCCCCTTCCGGTTCTCGCATGTGCTTTAAATGGACTGCTGACTGTTTAAATCCACACAGGTAATTCTTCACAAGGGCTCTATGCTCTAGGCAAAAGTCCTGGTAGCACCATGGTTAAGCATTAGCTGCTAATTGAAAGGCTAGAGGTTTACACCCTCCAGCTGCTCCATGTGAGGGAGCTCTGGTGGTCTAGCGGTAAGGAGTTGTACTGCCAACCCAAAAGCAAGTGGTTCAAATCCACCAGCGGCTCTGTGGGAGAAAGATAAAGATAGAAAGAGAATCTCCTCTGTGCGACTTACTGCCTCTGACAACCCGCTGGAGGGTGAGGTAGGGGTTGGTTCTGACTCGAAGGCACAAAACAAAAACAGCTGCTACGTGTGAGAAAAGATCTGGAGACCAGCTCCCATGAACATTGCTGTGTTAAGTGTGGTCAAGTTTGTTCTGAAGTTATCCCCTTCAGCTCCATGGGAGGAGCTCAAGGGAAAGACAGGAAAAGAAAACAGTAACATTTCTAGAGTAAAGGGAAAGTTGGGATCAAAAAAGAGTGAGAAATGAAAACAAAGCCAGAATGGCTCATGTTTTAAAGAATCCTATAGACCAAGTCTCAAAGACACTCTGTGGTCCAATGTCTTTAAGATGTTTCCCTAATGATGCTATCACCTGGTGGTCATCTCTTGATTGTGAACTGGATCTAGAAGGAACAGAGTATCATGAAAGTGATAGAGGTCGGCAAGCTTTGGTGGCCTAGTGGCAAGAAGGTGTACTGCAATCCAAGAGGTGCATGGTTCAAATCCACCAGATGCTCTGCTGGAGAAGGAAGAATGATCCCTTCCTGTACCAGTCAGATCTGATTTGACGGTACACACAGAGAAAATAATAAAAGAAAAAGAAAAAGAAAGTGATAGATGTCACCTCAAGGACTAATCTACAAAAACTATGACTTGTGTCCTGCTAGCTGATTTTACTGTTTTCTTGGTTTACACTTGTCAATAAAGCAAGGCCACTTGGCAAGGAACTGAGGAGGGCCTCAGCTCTACTTGGCCAACTTTATCTATTGGCTGCCCTCAGTCCCTGGGGCCGACAGCTGAGGTTTTCACATAGTTTTAGGGTTTATTGTGGTCCAGTCTTTCACAGTAACTTAATGTGGGATGAAATATTGAAGCACCATGTATCTTCTCAATCAAGCAGCTTCCCTCTGAGACCACAGCTGTGGAGACCAGTCTAAAGCCGTGTTACTATGATGTCATTAGTTGAGTCTGTGGACTCATCTGGATTCTGCTCCACAGCACCGCATTTCTTCTTTCGGGATTTGGCTGAATAGATGATGTAGATGCCTCTCAACAGGAATATTCCAGCGATGACAGAGAAATAACTCCCATAAGTTAAAAACTAAAAAAAAGGGAAAAAATAATGAATCACCCACAAGAATAGATTATATTTTATGCTAAATATATATAATAATGCTTTACTGCTGAGAAGTCTTGAACATTCACCAATCCTCACTACCACATTTCTAACTTGTAAAAAAGAGACATAATTACAATGAGAATTCATGTTAAGATGTTAAGAATTAAACATTATGGAAATTAGAAAGGAGCAGATGCAAAATGAGGGTGGTCAAGTCTGACTTAACCTGCTTCATAAAGGGGAACTGTCCCCTTCAATATTATCCATAGTATCATACAAGCAGGTACATTGTCAGACATGCCACCCCACACGTTCCTGCACGTGTTTCTACCAATCATTGGATCCGATGTTTGTTTTAACTTGACTCACAGAGAGTACTCATAGCAATGAAGTTGTGGGGATTATTAGGGAAATAGATTGAGGAGTGGGGTGGGGAGACAAAGAATATCACACAATACAAGTTCAGGTTCTGTTTAGCAGCACAGATAAACCTCTGGTTTCCTCAATCATCCAGCAAATTTTATCTTGGAGCAGTTACAAGCCAGCTTTTCCTTCAATTATCCAACAAGTAAAACCTTTAACTGTGGCTCCATCTCCAAGTTTCCTTCAGGTTATACCTTGCCACTGTCTCTTCACAGCAGTACCACAGTCTTTTCACATTATCTTCACAATCACCCTACAGGGTAGAAAGTGCTCTCTCTTATATTAATCTCACAGCTGTTGATGATTTGAAAGACCATGTATTCACAATTAAAATAGTTGGAGACCGTGTCAGCCCCCCCACAATGGGAGATAATTCAACGGCTAAAAAAGCCAATTTTTTGGGGGGGGGGCTGTTTTTGACACCACATGAAATATAACCATAATTCTTGGAGAGCTCAAATCTTGCTTTAGGAAATTGGACAGGCTCAGCCAGGTCATCATGATCTCTTGCATCAGTATTAACAGAGTATGAAGTGTTTTAAATGGAAGCATTTGTTTTGCAATGGGTTTTCCATGCAGAAAGAATGCAGAGAGTGGGAAAATTCTGTTCCAAATTTCTAAGACTTTTGGAATCTTCAAAGGCTGTAGTTACAGCACTGCCACATTTCATACTGGAAGTAATGACAAATTCTGAAGTCATTCTGAAGTCAATGGTACTTCAATATTGCCTTTAGCCGTGACGATAGCACCTGTCTCTACCAGCTGGAAATCATAATACCTTTTACCTATTTTAAAAATATTTTTAAGATTGTGATTTTTAATGGACCTTTGCATAAAGGTTGGGCTTTAAATACACTCATTGATGCACATTTTCCCCCTTCCCTTCCCTACTCTCCCCCCTAAGTAACTTTGTAATATACTTCTTGTCCAGATTTTTAATTGTCATACACATAATGCCTAATCATATATTCCTTTCAGATAGTACTTTCCCTCATCTGTTCCAGTGAAGTGTTCATCTCTCCATCTATTCTTTTCCTGTTCTCCCCACAAATCCCACCTCATGTCAACTCTATTTTATAACAGTAGTCTTACACAGTATTTGTCATTTTATGACTGAGATACTTTACTCAGTATAATTAATGTCTTCCAGACACACCCTGTGACTTTTCCAGACTGTCTTCTAGACTCAGGCTGTGTAGTGTCTTACAAGTTAATTGGTTTTTTGTTTTTTAAATTCTGTTTAGTAATCCATTCTGTAAATGTATCATAGTTTTCTATCTGTTTGTTGAGGAGCAATAGCACATTGTGAATAATGCAACAATAAACAAGGGTGTGCATACATCTCTTTGTGTCTAGGCTCTGATTTGTTTAGGGTGTATTCCCAGTACTGGGATAGCTGAGTCAAATGGTATTTCTGTTTGCAACTTTTTGAGGAAGTACTAGACCACATTCCACAGTGGTTGTACCATTTCACACTCCCATCAGCTTTGAATGAGAATTCCAATCTCTCCACACCCTCACCAGCATTTAGTGTTAGCTGTTGTGTTGAACTTTGATATTGTTGCTGGGGTGAGATGACATCTCGTTATTGTTTTGCTTTTCATCTCTCTGATAGATAGGTATTTTGAACATTTCTTCATGTGTTTTGTTTGTCATCTGAATTTCTTCTTTGATGAAGTGTCTATTAATATCTTGGGCCTATTTTTTTGATTGGGTTATTTGTCTTTTTCTTGTTGAGGTGCTGGAGTATGCTACAAATTTTAGATGTAAGTCCCTTATCAGACATGTCATTATCAAATATTTTTCCCAGTCTGTGGGTTTCCTTTTTCACTGTTGTACAAGGTTTTTTTGATGCGTATAGGCATTTGATTTTAGATGGTTCCATTCAACTATTTTATCCTCTCCTGGTTGTAGGTCATAATTCCTTTTAAGGGGTTGAATGTTCACAACTCTCTCATTGACAACTTGGGGTAATAGGCTGACTCAAGTTGGTAAGACACTGCAGTCTAACTATATTATGATGATTGTATCTTTACATTTTTTTAATCATTACAAAAATGTACTGATACATATTCATATACTCTATCAGTCTGTTGTCTTACTTTCACATTGATAGATTATCTTACACTAATAGAGTATATTGATACTGTATCAGTACATTACATCAATAGATTTTAATAAAATACCTTTTAACTATTCTTATAGTTCTGAAATTCATCAAGCAGGAAGTACCTAAGAGAATACGCCATCCCCTTTTCCTTATGAATCAGGGTGACGTCTCTCTCAGGGAGGAGTGATAGGGAATGGCAAAGGACACACCGACAAAGGAGATTAATCAGAACTGACTTTGACAAGCACTGTGGCAATTGGACAAT